GGTAAGCACCACCCGACTTGAGCCTAAACCCCCAATTCCTTGCTCCAGATTGGAACTCCCTTCCACATCCTGCACCCCAACCCCTGCCGCAGCCCTGAGCCCCCTTCTGCACTCCAAGTCTTTCATCCCCAGTCTCATCCCAGAGCCCACACTCTCAAATGGTTTCTTCTCCTCCTTCTGCAGCCCAACCCCCTGTCCAGTCCAGTAAAAGTTTGTGAGGGTAGGGGAGAATGAGTGACAGAAGGAGAGGGGAAAAGAGTGACGAGCAGGTCGTTGGGAAAAAGGCCAGAGCAAGGGTGTAAATCATGAAATTTTAAAATATTAATATGGATTCCTTTTTATTTGCCCTTTGCATTTTTGACTCTTAGGAGTTTGTTTCCAAACTTTGCTCCACAGCCTTTCTCCAAATCTGCACTCTGCAAAGCTCAGAGGATGAATGCCCTTTTCTGCATGTTATTTAATCAGAAGCCGGCCTCTTCCCAGAAGCAGGTTTTTTTTTAAGTAAAGTATCTATGATAGTCTTATGAGTTATTTTTAAGCAGAAGCAACACTTATCTATTTTCCCCATTGATCACATACTGAGCTAGAAACTACTCATTACCATACTGTGAGGAAGGAAGACATTTTTTTTAAATCACCATTAAGTTAGAAAAAATGCCTCAGCAAGGGAAAAAATTTGACTGTTCAACACACTGATAGTTAACACTTTCCAGTTTTTCTATTGCCAACTTTCAGATAGTTTTAGTCACATCCTCTTTCAAAAATTTTAGTCACATTCATCAGTAAATAAGTAGCAGCAGCAAAGTGACTTCAACCTCCACACATATTGTATTTCATGCATAGAACATTCTGTATCGGTTACCTACATAGGTACTTTAACGACACTTATCATCATTCTATCAGAGTATCTCACCAATGATAATGAATCTCTATGAGACAGAGAAGTATATTTATCTCCATTTTACATATCCATGGTTCAGGGATGAAGTGACTTGCCTAAGCTCCAGCACAAAGCCTGTAGCAGAACTTAGAACTAAATCCAGAGTACCTGAATCCCAGCCTAGTTCTACACCGATATCGTTCATCTCTTAGCTACATGGTTTCTGTTTAAAAGAACTTTGACAGTATTTTTCTCCATTTTTAACTTAGCAACTGGACCTAACCTCTGTACATATTTATTTGATTTTGCTATTTTTTCTTCAAAAAATCAGTACAAATAATTTTGTTGGGAAAATGCATCATTTTTGCATAATTGTTAGAGATATTTAAAAAACAGTCCTTTTTTAGGAGTATTTCAGTTGTACCTATGTTTTATCCTTACCATTGAGTTTCTCTAAAGCACTTGGGGAATCTGCTCAGGTTACAAAAACTGGTGTGTATCCACTTTCCTTTGGCAACGTGACACACTAATGAATAAGCTTGCACTGTTGAAAAGAAGGTCTTGAGCAATGAAAGACGGCATATTTTTCAGATGCATGGCTATGGGCTTGGGAAATTTGCTGATGTTTCCCTATGGATAAATTATGCTTGGAGGGTATTTATGCAACTTAGCTGGATGTGCCTCTGCATGCTGGTGCCTGAATGGTGTCAGCACTTGAAAGGGTTTGCTGCTCATCACTGGCAAAGTATTGTGAAAGACAGACCAAGCTGAAGAGTTAAGGGAGCACAGCAGTTACCCCAGGGATCCTATCACAAAAATATAGCCTGCATGTAACATGCTCATGTTACTTTAATTATATCAATCTTAAGATTCTGCATTATCAATCATTACCAAACTCTACCATTAAAAAATCACAACTTAAGGTCCAATATGTTATTGGTTTGATTTTAAAACATGGTTTAAAAAATAGGTCAATTTTGTGTTCATTCAGGCAGGTTGTGAATGTTTAAGGTCCATATAGGTCATGTCTTCAAGATTTTTGACACAATTAGAAATACAAAACTTATTTTATTGAGATTCTCATATAATCACAATTCTAGAGCTGCCCTCAAGAAATAAAAGGAATACCACGAAATTTGCAATAAAAATCCCTAGACATGGCAACCCTGATCTCTAGAGGTTTTAGTTTATTTTCCTTCATGTTAAACTGAAAATGATTTTGCTTTTAGTTTCCTGGTTTCCTATGTCCTTAAAAAAGGAAAGGGCTAAAAACACCCTCTAAGCTGCTTTAAGAATGTATAGTGGCATGAAGTCTTAAGCTGGTCTAAGTCTCTGAAGTGGACAGGTGCCCAGTGACATCCATTAAAAAGTGTCCTTTTCTTTGTCTATCTAGGATATAGTCCTCAAACATTCCTAACATATTCCCAATGTGTTTTGGCTTCCAAGTATAGGCATGATATGCTCTTTGGTGAACATTAAACACTGAGTTTCAAAGTTAAACTGTTTCTGAGTTGTGTCTGGAAAAAAAATTGTAAAAAGCTTTTCTTTAGAGCTGAAGCAAAAAACAGTTTTAAAAATTGCTCTCAGTGTACACAGCAATCTCAGACAGATGTACTGAAGTTCAGCACATGAAGATGAATGCCTTGAGTCTCATCTGTCTTGACCATTCAAACTGCTGTAGAGCAAATGAGAAAAGTTGCAGTTCTAAGTTAGGCTGTGTCTACACTTAAACCCTTAAACTGCAGGGCTACGTCTACACTGGCCCCTTTTCCGGAAGGGGCATGTAAATTTCATGAGTCGTAGTAGGGAAATGCGCGGGGGATTTAAATATCCCCCGCGGCATTTAAATAAAAATGTCCGCCGCTTTTTTCCGGCTTTTAAAAAAGCCGGAAAAGAGCGTCTACACTGGCCCCGATCCTCCGGAAAAAGCGCCCTTTTCCGGAGGCTCTTATTCCTACTTTGAAGTGGTTCTCAAAATGTGATTTGTGGATTACCAGAGCCTGGGCGCCGTGTGGGGAGGTGCTTTGTCAGGCCCCTGTCTTGCCCTAGGGTGCCAGGCAGCACTGCAGGCAGCCACTTTCTAACTTTGTAGCTGCTGAGGCCTGAAACCAAAGTGGTGCATGACCATCTTGTAGAAGAGCCATAGGCTTGGGGTTCAGCCTCCCCCCTGCCACCACAGTAGGGAACCCATGCTGGCACTTCAGCAGCACACACGCCCACGAGATTGGACTGCCAGTGCTGGCTTCCTGCTGCTGGGGCAGGGAAAGGGAGCTGCAGGCTGGACTGGACTCACAGGAGCAGAAAGTGGCTCTACACGCTGTTGCTCCCCCTCTTCCTGGCTGGGGAAACAGTGATGCAGGAAACTGCTAGCCTGGAGGCTTTTCCTGCTGCTCCCATTGGCAGGAATCCTGGCCAATGGGAGAAGCAGGGGGTAGTGCCAGAGAGCAGCAGGGGCCATGAAGTCAGGTAAGTGCTCCCCATCCTCCTCATGCCCAAACCCCTACACCTATCCCCCTCACTCACACCAAGACCCTCCACCCCCAGCCCGCTCATGCACCCTTCCTCCAGGCCAGACCCCACAGCCTCACCCCCTCCTGCATCTATTTTGTCATCAAGGGTGATTGGCTGGTGGGCTGCAGAAAGGTTTGTTTTGAGTGGGGTGGGCCGTGGTCCAAAAAGTTTAAGAACCACTGTACTAATAAATGTGTTGGTCTTCGAAGTGCCGCTGGACTCCTTGTCTTTTTTACAACAAGAAGGATTCTCCAGTCACTGTAGTTAATTCACCTTCACTAGAGGTGGCAGCCAGGTCAACAGAAGGCCAATGGGAGGGTTAAGTCAGCTTATCTGTGACACAGAGGTGTGGCTGATGCTGATGTTGCTTTTCAGTGAGGACCAGCCCTTGGTAGCCTTTTGCACAGCTGGAAGAGACACCGGCCAGGACTACAGAGCCCAGCATGGAGAAACCAGGCAGCTTTGCGCAGGGAGCGAATCGCTTTTAGACCAAGGCGGGAGCCTTTCCACACACACGAGCGTGGGGGTGGGTTCGGCTCAGCCTGTTACCCGATGACGAGCCACGGGGACGAGCCACGCAGCCAGCGGGAGTCAGGCCCGGCTTGGGCACCACGGGCCCGCAGCGAGGGCCAGGCCGGGCCGGCGGGGGATGGATCGTGCTCCCCGGGGGAACCCGCACGTGGGGAGGGATTTCCCGGCCACGTCACTGCTTAGGCTCCTCCCCCGGAGCCTGTAGCAAGAGGCAGCGCGTGACTTCGCCGAGGTGCACGCTGCGGACTTAGCCTCCCCTTGCATCGTCGACCTTTGCGTCTCTCGGTCGTACGCATGCGCATTAATTGCACCACGTTCTCCTCCTCCTCCCCCCCCCGCATCGCCGCGCCCCCTTACGCAGCCCGACGCGTGCCATGCGCCATTTCGTAACCCGGATCAGGCGGTGACCGGGTTCCTTGGAAGCCGCCTACCCTGCTGCTTGCGCTCGTGTGACGTTTGAGCTGATGGGCATGTAGAGAGGCAAATCAACGCTTTCCAAGTCGGCACCTGGTTGGTCGGCGCTACGAGAGGGCGGGCCGAGTGCCGATGCGGTTTGGTTGCGGTGGCACCGGCTACATAGGTTCGGGTACGGCGTGCCCTTGGGCTCAGACAGCGAGCGTGGGACAGCGGTAGCAGC